TAAGAGTTGTTCAAAATTCCACTTAAATTTCATGTAATTCACAGAAAATCCCTTGGAATTCCATATAATTTGACGAAAATTCCTCGGGATTCATGTAAGTTTTTGAAACTTTTTTAAAATTCTTTATGTAATTTAACAAGCACTGAAATTTCATGTTGGGAATTTCGGTGTAATTCCATGTAATTGTTTAGAATTTTTCCATGCAACTCATTCAGGATTTCATGTATTTCGATCGAAATTCCACTGAAATTTCATGTAATTTCTCGAAATTTCATGTAATTTGAGAGGAACTAAAATTTAATGTGAATTCTATAGATACTCTGCAAAAATTTCACATGTAATTCCTTTTTCAGAATAACATAATTCTACCGAAATTCCTCGAAATTCCACTAAATTATGGAATTCTGAGAGGCTTATTTAACAGATTTTTGGGGATTCCAAAGAATTTTTGGGAATTTCAAAGGAAATATTTTTTAGGAATGTTAATGATTTTATAAGATTTTGCACGAAAACACTAGGCAGTGGGCTTTGTGAAACATGTTGAACATTTGAATTGTTTTGATTGACATTTTTGCACTGGCCTGTACATTCGTTGGTTGATCTTAGACAATTCTTACAAATATTCAATCTTCTGACTTCTTTCATACGTTTTTAAACTGAAAGATTCAGAAAGGACCCCGCACATTTCTTATGGAAAAGTGATCTATGTGGAATTTTGCTGAATTTTTGATATTGTGTATAGGGAGTCGTCCTTAACAAAAGTGATCATTGCGCTAATGTTCAATACCCAACAGTTTTCAAGATATCAATTAAAAACTTTTTTAAAAATACTCTTCAGTATGACGTCACTCACAGCAACGGAAATTATTACTATTCTTTCCACTTTTGACTTTGACTTTACTCTTCTCCTTTTAACATTAAGAAAAAAAAAGATAGCGATAGCGATTTGTGACAAATAGGTAGGTATGCAAACAACACCTAGCTCCTGCCGCAATCGTCAACTTCATGTCATGATGTCTGTCATATAGCGATTTCATTTGTACTTGTTGTTGTTTTTTTTTATTTCCTAAATGTTAAAAGGAGGAGCGTAGGGAGCGTATAAGTATAGTTAGTCAAAGTCAAAAGTGAAAAGGATAGTTTTAATTTTCGGTGCTGTGAGCATACTGGTGACGTCATACTGAAGAGTATCAAATTAAAAAAGTTTTTAATTGATATCTTGAAAACTGTTGGGTATTGTACATTAGCGCAATGATCACTTTTGTTAAGGACGACTCCCTATACACAATATCAAAAATTCAGCAAAATTCCACATAGATCACTTTTCCATAAGAAATGTGCGGGGTCCTTTATTGCGGATTTGGGTTTCTCTAGGTTTCTGTCTAATCTAGGAAATATTATTTGAAGAAATATCAATTTGTACAGTTTCGAAAAACTGATATCGACTGTCTTAAAAGTCTGTACATTCATTAACCTGTGGCATAGAACTATGATCCATAACCAAATTTCCCATTCTCGTCTGCTAAAATAATCAAGCTTAGAAACTAATATTTAAATCAAAATCTAGGCCTATTGTTATACTGATTCAGTGAATTTTTTAATGACCGATAATCGATAATCTTTAATGTTTTAGAAAAATGTCTTAAGAGTGCGCTTCTCAATGCTGAAAAAATAGGTATTTCGCGTTCGCAACTATGCTGTTTCAATGAAAACATTTATTTTGCATTTAGGGAATTCTAACAAAAACTGTTTTTAAGAATGTACTTTTGTGCTTACTTGACCAGTAATTTTTTTTTGATTCTTCTCATTAAAAAAAAAAATCATAAAATGAGAAAAATCAAAAAAAATTTACTGGTCAAACAAGCACATAAACATATCCTTGAAAAAAGTAATCGGTTGAAATTTCCTAGATGCAACTGTTTTTATAAAAATAGCAAAGGCGCACTCGCGATTTTCAACATCGAGAAGCGCAGAGCAATGGAATTTTCTTTCCGAATATTTTCTAACTAGAACTGTGACAATAATTACTCTTGTGTTCTGACATCAATTTTTTAATAAATCACATATGCAACGTCATAGTTTAACTGGGTTATTTCAAGTGATTCAACTAGGAAAGTGTCATAAAATTGCATAAATTTGTTGAATGAATCACTATATTCTGCGATTTTTATAGATGGGTGTTAAAAATTGGGCAATCTGCGGTTTGCAGGCAAGGATGCCCACATTTTGAACCTATGATTTGAGCTTGAACTGGAACATTTACCTTTCTATGATCATTAACAATCATCTTTTTTGAAATGAACCTTGTGAATACGTAGATAGTGTGCAAAATAATTGTAGAACAAATTGAGACTATCTGTTGTGAATTATAGGAATAGAAAAATGATCATGAAAAGGACTTACATTGATTTAATCCTTCCTTTCACCTGTTTTTCCTTCAAACACCGAGACTTATTTTTTTTTTTACTTGATCGCTTGAAATGTGAAATGTATGTGTAGGTACGCCGTATTTTCCGAAAATAATCCTACTCGAAAGATCAAAATGTTAAGTTTGTTGGTTCTAAATAAGTATTTTTGAACAAATGAACACTACTGAGGAAACTGGGACTGTATACTTGTAAAAATAAAACAATTTTAAAATTACCTCTCCGCTGGTCAACTCGATGCGCAATAAAATGGGAAACCATTTTATAAGCTTCGCGCTTCGGCGTGATGACGGCGACTGCGGCAAGAGCTCTAGTGTCGTGTCGACGTGCCGGTACTATCGACTGTCATTCCCCTTCCCAGTCAAACCAAGGATATTCCTACGCCTGGGTCCGAAACCGCGGAATAGCGTTCTCATGAGAACGAATGTGCTGTTTTGCGTCATTGTTATGTATGGAAATATGAATATGATCGACAAAGACCTTCGTTCTCATGAGAACGCTGCTCCCGTTTCAAGAATAAGGACCCAGATGTACTTCCATGAGGCTGTGCGCGCGCAGCTGGATGTCAGAAAGCGCGCAATTTGAAGCAGAGAGCACAATAATAATTGATATCTTATAACTTTACTAAACTAAATAACAACAAACCAAAACTCCAAATTAATTGAAACTCGGAATTTTTGGACTATTGTTATTTATTCAACTTTTGTTACAATTATATTTTATTACATCTATAGGAAAGTTATTGAACCTATACAAAGAAAAAGAAGTCAAAATCCGAGTCAAAATCCCAAACATATCCAGGAACCAGGGACTATTCAACTACCCCTTCAATATTTGTGTAGATATAAGCAATATTTCTGCTTACATAAACATATTGATATTATTGAAGGCTTTTGCATAATCTTGCTCTTAAGTCAGAGTTTCGCTTTCGAAGGCTATACATTATATTCGTAAACTTCAATCAATATATCTTCAAAAAAAACTCCAGTACAGAGAACGCCTTAAGTAAAGTCACCACTAAGTTGATCTCGGGGGTCTTGACGAGAGCAGGAAGGTTGTTGGGATTTTTCTGGACCTAAAAAGTCGTTTGACGCTGTGGAGCATAACATACTGCTTCAGAGGCTACACAAAATAGGCATTAGAGGCATAGTGTATAAGCTTCTTGAATCGTATCTAAATAACAGAACACAATGTGTTGAAATTGGAGACACAGCAACTGAGCCTCTTCTGATGGTTTGTGGTGTGCCTCAGGGTTTTGTGCTGGGTTCACTATTATTCAATATTTACATAAATAGCATTTTGTCAATTGTTGATGAGGGGACAGTAATTTGCTTTGCTGATGACACAGCTATCATAGTTCAGGGTGAATCATGGGATCTTGCCATTAGAAGGGCGAAAATCGCTGTCTCGGAAATAAAAAAAATTGGCTGGACCATAGTTTATTATCATTGAATATAGAAAAGACTGTGACTCAAAATCTAAAAATACATGACTCGGACTGTAACACCGAAAACTGTAGAACATCTAGTTGCAGTAATGTCATAGAGAGAGTAAAATGTATAAAGTACTTCGGAATTTTTGTTGACGAAAATTTAAGCTGGAAAAATCATGTTGACTATGTCACAAAAAAAATTAGAAAATTATTATACATATTCCTACTTAGAAACATCTTGCTTTTCAAAATGCTGAAAGCGGTTTATTATTCAGAGTCTATAACACTTAACCTGTCTCACTTGAAAATATGCCATTTAATAGAATAAACTATACATACATACTCAGCAAATAAATTTGATTTTTCTCCGAATGACAGTAAAAGCGGCCTTTTAATGACACTTGGCAGGATCAAAAGTTGTATTTTTACTGCCTAGGCATTAAAAGTGGACTTTTACTGCCTAGGCATTAAAAGTGTCAGTGTCACAACGTTCCAGGTAATAATTTCACTCAATTTGGTATTTGAAATTGATGGTGACAATGACAATTGTCAAAATAATTTAATTATTTGGATAATAATAATAAATGAAATAAATATAAAAAAGATGTCCATGTGTGAATTTGAACATTCGGAGAAAAAATTATGTTTTACATGGCAGAAAAGCAGATTTAATGCCTCGGCTGGTTTCCTAGCCTCGGTTATGAAACACTCCGCGGCATTAAATCTTGTACTTTTCTGCCTAGTAAAACAAATAACTATTGATTTGATTTGAAACTTGAGACTTCATACTTTGTAATGATGAAAATAAATTTAGTTTTTAAAAGAGAATATATCGATCGATGGATTTATAACTTATGCCTATTGAACCAAATTTAATTTAAAAATGTCCGCAGTCATTACTGAATAGAAGAAATTACCTACTTGCCATTTTGCTAATAAAAATACCAATTTTCAAAAACAAGTGGAAAAAAAACATAATTATCAGATCCCGAATGCTCTTGCTTGTCTTAATGTAGGTATACTTATGTATAAATATAAATAGTGCTTGGTAAAGTGGACTTATAAATACCACAATTTACAATAATTAGTAGAAAAAAATCTTCAATAAGCACCTACCTACTAGTAAAAAAGAAAGGTTGGCTTACCTTATCAGACATATCATCGGCATCATTCTCTGGAATTGAAACGAGTCGACTATTCTTGATATTAACAGACATAGTATCCAAGAAATTTGTCCTGAACTTATCATTTTTTTCCGAAATGTAGAAAATATGTGGCATGATGAAATTAACAATCTTGATTTCCTTAGTGGACCCCATTATGGTAAACTGAAAAAAATTGATAAAAATTGAATTCAGATGCTATAGCTATTATTCATAGTCTATTGTATTTCATATTTTACATTGAGATTGAAGGACCAGCAGGTGACATTTATTGACTGAGGTTTTCAAGCGCTTGACCGGTCAGTCACATTTGACAGATGAACAATAAGGAAGAATTCACACCAAAGCAATAAGCAACTATACGAAAGAAGCATGTGTTACGGAAGTGCGTTCAACAAAATGCTCACTCCTTTCAGCTCCGCACACATAGTGGGAATCATGTTGAAAATGCCATCATTTATTTCATGTAGGACACCATGCAGGAATTGCGTGTAACATATAAGTTACCGGGTTAACACAACTGCGGCATAGTAACAAACACCGCCTATAGGTAAAAACAGGGAATCTTGTGTGCAGGCGACATATTGAAAAAAGAAATAGGAAAGTTATTTTAGTTTGAAATCTATGAAAACTTGTTTTTGATTCGAAAAAAATCATTACTTTATCAACATTAAGGAAATTTATTGCAAACAGAATTGTTTTAAAACGCAACATTGAAAAATATATTTTAAGGTTAATGAAAGGGCTTCTTTTAATGTATTTTTTTTTATAGATAAAAGCTTTTTTAAGGGCGCATTGGTAATTTTGTTAGTAAAATGAAAAACTGCACGAAAAATTTTGCTTCACAATGAAAACTTGATTTCCTGAGCCGAAAATAATCTATCATCTATGCTATCATCATATACAGTGAGGGGCAGGCTACTAGGTATATAGGATATAACTTGACGAATTTGCAAGCGTCCGCATGTGGCAAAATGACACATAGTGCTAAAGGGTCATTTACATCCACTTAACTTAACTTGACGTACGGAAAATTAATAATAAAAAAAAATTGAAGATCACATAGTTGTTACATCCACTTAAAAATTAAGAAAATTAACGTGACACACGAAAAGTTGAACCAACTTAAGAAAATCCGTGCAATAAATAATAATTTCCATTTCTGTGCATATAATTTGACTTGACAGTTCAGGTTATAAGTGCGCGTGTAAGATAATTTACTTCATTGTTAACAGACACCTTCTCAGTTTCGTACGTTAGTTATAATTTTCCGTACCTTAAGTTAAGTTAAGTGGATGTGAATGACCCCTAACTCATGACAACCAGGTAAAAACAAAACGTGAAAAGACTTGAGACTCAAAAAACTAAAGCTAAAGACACAATGGCTGAGATACGTTTTCGGATACGAGACTAGGTGCTGAATTACAGAAGCTCTGCAACAGCAAGATACAAATGCAGGACCTGCAAGTCTGACTTTTTGTACTACAGAAGCAGAATGCATTTGCAAGTCGCCTGCAAATTTGCGCATAGCAAAACGTCCCCGTAAGTTCTTGCAGTTACTTTGACAACTTTGACATTTCAAACTGGTAAATCAGTAGTGCCCAAACACTTTTTTGACAAATATGACGGACTTGCAGGTTTTTTTCTGTAATTTGCTTGTTCCTGCAAATGGAGCACATCTGCAAGTCGCCCATATTTGCAGAACTGCAAATTTGCAGATACAAATATACTGTAATTGGGCCCTTGGCCCTTAACTATGCGGACTACGAAACCACCGTATTTATTCTGCGCGTGCGCAGATCGATGCGGAGATGGATACATATAAAAATTCAGGATAAGCAAGTTGACACTTTAAGCAGGTCCTGAATTTCAAACGTAGGTATCTAACGCAGGATAGATAGTGAATACGGTGGTCTCGTTGCGTTACGTTGTCCGTATTTCCAAATTTATGTTCCTACTCCTCCCACCTAGGAAATTACCTGCTCTAAGGTTAAACACGTTGCAGACAAAACGTTTTGATCAGTAAGCTGAACCGTAGCGTCTGAACTGTGCTTAAGTCTGTATCTAAATCGTACTGAAGTAAACAAACGTCAAAGTTGTTGAACGAACGACAGTGACAGGGGTTCAAACGGCTGCGGACGGTGGTAAATTCGTCAAGTTGGATCCTATATACCTAGTAGCCTGCCCCTTACTGTATAAAAACTATGCATGTTACACTATCAGCCATTTCATGGTGTCCATAATTTTCAATAAAATAGATCATATACACAAATTCTATGTATTGAACAAAGAGAACTACACAGGGTGTCCCAAAAAGATACCGACAAACTTTAAGGGGTAGTAGGGGACATCAAAACAAGCATTTTTGTTTATATAAACATATGTCCGCAAATGAGCCATTTGGGCTGTAGAGCAAAAAAACTGTTTGGTATCTAGTTTTATTCTTCGCAATAATTAAATCACTGTTTACTTATTAATTTTGCTTTAATAGCAAATAAATTATGGTTTACAATAATTGTTCAACTCGCGAACTCTTTGGAATATTCCGGGAATAGCTTCTACATGGGTACAACTCGCCAGTATCCTTGCTATCAGATCTTCCTCATTACGAACAGGTGTTTCGTAGACTAAACTTTTCAGTCAATGACCCGACGGTGTAATCTTTGCATTGGAGTAAATGGTCAACATTTTGAACAATTATTGTAAACCATAATTTATTTGATAATAAAGCAAAATTAATAAGTAAACAGTGATTTAATTATTGCGAAGAATAAAAGTATCAAACAGTTTTTTTGCTCTACAGCCCAAATGGCTCATTTGCGGACATATGTTTATATAAACAAAAATGCTTGTTTTGATGTCCCCTACTACCCCTTAAAGTTTGTCGGTATCTTTTTGGGACACCCTGTATATACAATCTAGACACGCCTTCCTCATTCTGTCATTTTCTTAGTTGATATCTCGTGAGGAGTAACAATTCCGGAATTAAATTATTCACATAAGAGGTATTATGTGAGTATTTGTGTAGGAATTGCGTGCCTGAAAAGAAAATTAAATGACACAGTTGATAGACCATATGCCTGAATTGTTTCACAAATGTGTGGTGTCATCGTGCTCCACTTTCCACGCATGGCATACACATGTCAGTCGACGTTTCGAAACATTGTGTGCAACTTGACACAAGAAAGTGTCACAATTTCGGAAACGTTACCAAAACTCAACCGCAAAATGCTCACTGGGTAAACAACAAAATAGTTTTTTATGATATAAGGGTTAAAAGTACATTTTTAAAGCATGCATATGAAAGTCTGCAATTCACATAGGTGCCTTAAAAATACTTTTAACACAAATATCATACAATATTTTTTCTACAAACGGCAATAAAAAGCAATAACCAGTAACAAATTGGATTTTCAAATGAATAATAAATTGGATGCATCTTTCCTACATATAATTATTGAATTTGACATTTGTCAAAAAATCCAAACAGCCAGCACCTTGTTTTACAGTTAATGAAATGTTTTGTCAGTTTCACAGAACGTCAGTTTCTTGAAAGTCTCTGTCACAGAATACATATCCTCACGGATATAGGCTTTTATTTACAACCACATACGTAATGTTGACATTTCTGACTTTTCAAAAGTTTGAAAGTGACACTTTTTTGAATTTTACTTTCCACCCGGGTGGAAAGTGCTCACTTAAGTAAGTTCTCATTTCCTAAAATGTTTAAGGCGAGTCCTGCATGTCAAACGTTTTTTTAAATGAGTCAGAACTTGTCAACAAATTTTTAATTTTTTTTTTAGTATTTAGTCGAAATTATAAGGGTTGTAATTGTTGTAAATAAAATAGTATACAAACCTCGGTAGCGCAACATGAGGCAAGTCTTTTTATTAGCTAACTAGTACAGGTGTGAAGTCTTCGTTTTGCACGCTGGACATCTCCTTGTCCTTGTTCATTGCTCGTGGTCTGACAAAAATAAAAGTACGGTTGATATTCAACTTGACAAGTGACACTCAAGAGAAGTTTGAAATTTTCATTGATAAATATATGTTGCAAAACACGCGGTTTTTCTTCTTCTCTTTTTATCCCGTGCAAATAAGGAGGATGGATTGCCATACGTAAGTTTAACAAAATTTGGTACATTTTGCCTCGTCTTGTGCAATGAGCGTTCTGTGTCTTTTTTTATCTAATGAAGTTTTCGTATTATTACCTCTTTGATTGGTAAAATAGATAGGTCTACTATCACGTGACATTCTGATAAATTATAAGAAAAAAAATAGGCATTGACAACATTGTCTCTTTTTGTTCTATGACGTCATCCTAAATATAACGTAAAAAACGTAGAAGGCAAACTGCCTAATAAAATTTTGGGGAACAATACGCCGTTACGGCGCGGTGGATGCGATCCGAACTATTTATAATAAAGGTTTCTGTAATCAAATCAGCTTTCAAAATAGTTCTCCCATTGTCAATATTTTCAATATTAGATTTGTTCTGTGATTTGTTTGGACTTCAGTTCAGAATTATTGAAATACGCTTGCGCATTTGTTTATATTATATGTTTGATATGACCAAATGCGCAAGCGCAGTTCAATTAAGGACTGATTTTTAGCTGAAGTCCAAACAAACCTATTAATTTTTCCTCATTATTGTCGAATTCCATTCGACGGTTTTTCTTCCGAGTAGAGCAAAAACGGCCAAACTTCTTGTAAAGTCTGATTTTTTTTTTGAATTTAGGAAACCTTTATCTGGATTTAAAATGCACACCAACACCAAGACGAATTTTCATTCAGAACTATTTTGACATATTTTTTTTAACACATAGGTAACAGGTAAACTGCTAAAGTAAACTCCGACCTGTGACATATTTTCTGGTGGCGCTGTAGTTGTGTTTCACTCCAGCGCCCCAAGCAGATGCGATCCGTAGCTTTTTTTTAGGCCCCGCCCTCCATTAAGCTTTTTTTTCTATCCGTGATATGTGTTCTGTGGTCTCTGTCGTGGTCAGTAATGCTTTTTGCTAAAAATGCAACAAAATACAGAAAAAAAAGGGGTTGCATCGATCCCTCGAAAAACATAGATGAGGCGGCCAATCGGGCTACCTCTGTTGTTGAAATTTCACTATTAATATCAATGTAAATAAGTAAAAATAGATACTT